GACAGATGGATTTGTTCTTTTGGCACGCCATGGTACTTTCAATATGCTTTGCCAGCACCATAGATCAAATGGCATGGATTCTTCTTTATTCAGTGTCCAACTTTCATGGCTCAGGTCAGGTGCACCGTAGTCCTCAAAGTAACATCCTTGCTTTGCAACATTTGAAAGAGGTCTTGTGCAGCAGATTTACCCAGTGTAACAACTTCTTTGGCTCTTTTGATGGCTGCTCCCATGAGCATTGGTTGTGGAGCCGAGCAAGATGAAATGCTTGACAATATCAATCTTTTCTCCATTTTTCACGATGTTACCTGTTGGTCCAGATGGGAGAGTTTGGGTTTCCTTGACATTGAGTTGCAACCCACACTGAAGGCTTGATCTCCATCAGCAAGGACTTCAGGTCCTCCTCACATTGAGCAAGCAAGGTGGTGCCACCTGTGTTCACAAGCCTTCCTCCAACCCTGATGCTGCCTTCTTCATATAATTCCGTTTCTTTATTTCCTCAGTATGCAGATTAACTAGGGATAGTGAGAGGATGCGACACTGGTGCACACCTTTCCTGATTGTAAACCATGCAGTGTGCCCTTGTTCTGTTGCACCGCTACCCCTTGATCCGCGTACAGTTTCTGCATGAGCACAAGGCGGCGTTCGAGGATTTTCATTTTTCTCAAAGCTGTCCATAGTTTGCCATGGCCCACACCATCAGATGCAAAGGCATTGTGATAGACACAGATATTTGGCTCTTTAGTCTGTTATCGCACTCTTCCATGAGAGTTTGTCCTCAGTAAAACCAGGTAAACACACACACACACACACACTCACAACACAGAACCCTTTCTTTGGCAGTGCCGCCCAGCCTCAGTCACTGTGACTGGAACCTGGGCACTAGTCCTAGAAGCATAACTTTATTCTAATCACCACTAGGGGAGGGGGGGGCAGAATATGAGGCTTCTTACTCCTATACAAAGCTACTCTCGGAAACTCACAGGGGCAGTTCTCCTCTGTCCTATAGGATCACTGAGTCAGAATCGACTCGGTGGCAGTGAATTTGACTTCGATTTTAATTACCACTGGATGGCAGACCAAACTTGCAGGAAGTCTTGCAGTCCCCATTAAGCCAAGGACTGCCGTGGACCTGACAGGGATCCGTTCTGTCGAAAGGATCTAGCTGGGGTGATGTAAGAAATATATATATTTAATAGGTAGACCCTGTCACCTGCAGGCAGGGCCCCTGATCCCTCGTCTGGCTGGGGGAAGTGGTTGAAGAGGAAGGCTGGGGACCAACAGCAACGCTGACATTGAGGTAAACAAAAGCCCCCTGCCAGCAGGGCCTACTGCCTTTCTGTGTGCAAAGGACCATGCCTTTCAACCAGAGACCTTAGGGGTCCTGCAGGGCATAAGCTCAATTTGTCTTCCTGCCGGAGGCAATCAGCAATTATCTGTGCCGTGAGGCAAGCCGGCTTTCCGTCCGAGGAGGAGGAGGAATTTATAGAATTGCTCTCTAAGCTAAGTTATTAGAGGAGGGAAAGGACGCCCACGCAGAAGGTAGCATCATGGAGCAATGGAGAAAACCAACGTCCAACACCTGGTCATTGAACAGGTTCTGACTCATGTCAACCCCACACGCTGGAGAGGAGGGTGGTCGTAGTTGCACTGTTTACAGAAACAGAAGGCCAGCCTTTCTTGTGAACGTCAGCCTTTCCTGCAAGGCCACGTAGGTTCAAACCATCACCCCCTACGTTAGTCCTCAAGGGCAAACCACCAGGGACCATGACATAAAAAAGACAAGATTTAAATCCTGACTATCTGTCAAGGCTGGACAAGTGTCTCTGGGGAGGGGACACTAGAAGTGATTGTGATGGAGTATATACAATGCTTTCAAACGGGACTTAACTGTGGATATGTACAATTTGTGCATATTATCTCAAGAAAACGACTAAAAACAAGAAACAAAAGTGGACTAATGGTCACCGTGGGTGAAAGAGGAAGAGTTTTGCTTAGGAGGCATTGTGCTTATGTTAATGGTGGTGGGATAATTTGGAATAGGATATCAATAATTGGGTGCAGAACACAAAGAGTATAATTAATGGCACTGAGTTATACATGTAGAAATTGTTGGAGAATCCTTTGTTGTGTGTATTTTTGCCAATTTTTAAAATTACACTAATAACAATGAGTACAAGGAAGAACAGATTCTAAAAATTGATTATAGCTATGATTGTACATCTCTTCTTGATATGGTTGAACTATTGAATTCTATGATATGTGGATGATATGTAGATGAAGTGCCAATAGAACTATTTTATTTTTTGTTAAAAGTGGACAATGAAAATTACAGCAACCCCTACTAACAGGGTTGTCTTGGTGCTGAAATGAGGTGATGAATAGAGTTCGATGCAAGCTAGCCCTTTATTATTATTACCATCCAAGATGGTGGAAGAGTCCAGGAATTACAGCAGGTCAGGAGGTTAGGAAAAATGCAAAAATGATCACCCCCCCCAAAAAAAATTTTAAGCTGTTTCTGGTTTTTCCCTCTAGTTAGCCTAGCTAAAGCTGGCATATAGTAGGATGCTGCGTGAGATGCCAGCCTGGCATCCGTGTAGCCCGTTCTCACCCAGCACCTCCTCCAAGCAGCTGACCCAGCCCAGCTTCACAGAGGATGTCGAAATAAATGGCATTCGCCGCCATTCCCCTCCAGAATGAAAGGAGCCCAATCTGACCCCGGATGGCACTTCCAGAGCCACCCCTTCCACACTTGGTCTCGGAACTTTTTCATCATAACCACATGTGACATTGGAAAACACGCCCATCTCTACACCACCTAGGATGTCGCTGTTTTGAGAGTCCATCCCCCAGCCCCCACCCCTGCTTCTTATGGACAGCACTGACCTTTGAAAATTCCAATAGGCTTTTCTCCTCACCACCAGATGAGACGTCAGCCGCGGATGTGTGGCTCGGGAAAGCGCGCTCAGGACATGCCCGTGGCCATGAAACGGCAGAGAGCACATCGGATGGACCCCTAAGGGCTGCCTTGCAGAGCCACTTGGGAGCATAGGACCCTGGGAGGTAGCAAGCACCACTGCTGCCCTCTGCTGAGCTCTGACCTCCTGAGCCCCGGGAGCCTTCCAGAGGTCACCTCACTCAGCACCCAAAAGTGGAGGGCCAGTGGGTTCAGAGTGGTTCTTGGGTGGCACCCTCAGATAGGAGATTCACTTACACAATGATTTTGTTGTTGTTTATGTTTCAAACACTCCCTGCCCTGAGTTCAGAGCAACTCATGGCAGGAAGAGCAAGAGCCACGACCTCCACCACCACCACCAACAACAACAAAGAGCATGTTGAAAGGTTAATGGATACTTTCACAGGAAATGCAAGGCACGTGTGTTTCGACATGGATTTCACGTTGAGCTCGTTGGTGCTTTCCTTCCCCAGCAATGCCACGCCCCCAGAAACAACACGACAGCAGCTGCTGTTGAGGGATTCATTTATTCCGCTCCACTACAAATCTGAGAAGACTCCATGGAGCCAGAAGCTCCAAGCAAGTGAGATCCAGGCCGAGTGAGACCCAGATCTGGCCCTGGCTGAAAAGGGGGTCTTTTCCTGCAATTCTGCTCTCAGAAGGAAAGTAGTAACTAGTGCTTTCGGTCCGAACCCTACTTGGCAGAAATTGACACCCTCTTTCTCTCCCCTTGGTGGCGCTGTTGGGAGAGCCCTGGACTGCTAAGGACAGTCCATGGTTCAAACACACCAACCGCTCCTTGGGAGGCAGCTGGGTCCGTCAGCTCCTGTCGAGATTTACCAAGACTCAGACACCCTACAGAGGATCATTTCAAGTCAGAATTAATTCCATGACAGGGGGTGTGCCTGCCCTCCACAGTTTCTGGTTCCAAGCAGCTACGGAAAACAGACTACAATGGAGCAAAGCGTAGCTCCCTGCTCAGGAGATAGGCTAGCTTCAGAATTTGCCAGAACATTTTTCGGTTTTGAGGTGTTTTCTTGCAGGGCGGGGGGGAATTATAATTCTTCCTTGGGGTCCCTTTTAAATATAAAGACCCCAGGGTCCCCTTGCAGTAGTTACGTTCTGGACCCAGGCAAGGCTCTCCCCCAATCTGACGAGTCTTCTGTCTCAACATGCCTGCCCACCACCACGCCCAGGTCACCAGAGGGCAGCACCCTCACACACTCTCCACAGAGCCAGCAGCAGGCAGCCGAGCCCAAAGCCCAGGCAGCAAGGAGCTCCTGAAACAAAACACAAGGCCAGAGAGCCTGTGAGCAAGATCCCTGCCGCACTGAGGGGTCCATCCGCCCCACCGAGGGGTCCATCCGCCCCACCCCAGGGTGGCACTCCGTCTGGACTGAACCTTGGGTTCTTTGTTTCTTAAATGAGAATAGTGACCCCAATCAGGGGGTTGTAGAAATGAAATCAGAGAGTATAGTACTAGGGGGTACCTTGATCCTAAGTCCCTTGGGGAGTTTGTCCAAAATGCAAATTCCAGAGCCTTCTCGGGAGATGCTGATTCAGAAAGCCTACCCTGGGCCCTCTCCCACCCTGGAAGTAGACTGGCAAATAGCACCCTGACCCTTCGGGTAATTCTGATAACTAAGCAAGTTTAGGAAGCAGGAGATGAGCGGGCAAATCCACTGAGGTCTTCGAGGTCCATGGAAGGAGGGGGCACCCAAGATGTTGATACAGTGGGGGATGGAGTTAGCCTGCTGTTCACCAAGGCTGGGATGGCGAGCTGGTTAATATCTAGTCCGTTTAAGTCTTAGTTGGCAGAAAATCCAAAATGGACCACCCTTCTCCCTTTGCAGCGAAATTCCCTTTAAACTTAAGAATGTTCAAACTCAGCAAGTTTGGACAAAGAACCTTTGAGGGCAAGCAAGACCACTGAGAGAAGCAATGGAGCCTGAGACACGGAGGGAGGGACAGTATGGCTCCTGTGGCCTCCTCTGTCCCTTCGCTGAAGCCCCCTGCTCCTTTTAACAAGCCTGTGGACAGTCCCTCAACTGGCCAGCGAGTTGAGGGCGATATAACTTGCTGGCCTCTCCCTGAGTTTTTGAAGCAGTTTGGGGAGGTTTCTGTCAAGCACTCGCCGCCGCCGACATGAACTTAAACTTCGGTGACTCAGCCTAGTCTCTGTAACGCCTAAAAGAGCGGCAGGCCTCCTGGACTTGCGCCGGCTGGTGACCTTATCACTTTCTTCCACCGCTGCTCCCGGGGAAAACTGAGCCTCGGTGAAAGATTTGGCAGTATCTGTCCAAATCCCCAAGCACGGGTCTCAGCGATGCAAGGTCATCCCCTGCCTCAGGGTTTGTGCCTAGTTCCAAAGCCCTGCTTAAAGACAGTGACGAGGTGGTCATCAAGCCACGTACAGAACCGGTTCCCGAGTGTACGCGGCGAGGTGCAGACCAAGGTGTGCAACCCGCCCTTGCGAGAGCCACGAGATGGTCTCTTGGGTTCGCTTTTGCACGCAGGGAGGACGTGTGGAATTCACACGAAGCTTGGAGTGCTGGCCGCAGAAGCACTTCCAGGATTGAGTGTCCAGAGATGCTGATCCCAAGGGTCTTGGGGGAGGAGGGTGGGGCGGAGGAGTCCAGAGAATGGGCAGCTTTTAAAAGCACACCCCTCTCCCCGCAGGGGGCTTTAAGGGGCCACCAGGGTTGAAGATCATTTGTGTAAATGAGACAGGGTTGCTCTCCGGGAAATCTCCCCAGTTCAAAGATCTCGCCCTGAGTCCTGGTCATCTTCCTGCCCCAGCGCTGCTGAGTTAGGGAAGAGGGTCGGGGTGAAAACAGGACCGGGGGTGGCTGGGCTCACCTGGGGGCGAACCGGAGGTGCGGGTGGGGCTGGCGCTCAGAGGTGGATCGAGCCAGGAGTGGGCCTGAGCGCCATCTCGTGCCCGCTGGAGGCTCTGCAGCTGCTGCCCGCTGAGCCGCTGTCGCTGGGCGTTGGTCACCGCCGCCGCATTCTCGGGGCCCAAAGAAGCCATCTGCTCTGGGGACAGCTCCTGCAGGAGGGTGAGAGGGCAGTGCCCAGAGAGGGAGGGACCCCGGGCACGCAGGGGTTCCAAAACCTCGGCCCCCCTCCTGTGGCCTGCCCAGCGTGACCACATCACCAAGCATTTGTTCTCCTCTGGTATTTTTCCTTAAAAATCGGTCCAAACTTCTTTTAAAATAGAACTGTGTACACAGAAATTCCGAAAAATGGAGAATCAGCACGACCAGCTATGAGGAGTCATAAAAAGTAATCATAAGGAAGCCAAAGAAATAAAGCAACCCCGTGGAAGGCGTATGAACACTGGTGGCGTCAGGTTTACGCGTTGGGCTACTAACTTCAAGGTCAGCAGTTTGAAACCCAGACGAAGACCGGACTTTCTACTCCCTTAGAGTTACAGCATCAGAACCCCACAGAGGCAGTTCTCCCTTGACCTATAGGGTCGCTGAGTCGGCACCGACTCATGGGCAGTGAGTTGTTTGGGATTGGGTTTTATGGAAAGATTCAAGGTGGTGGCCTAGCCAGACACACCACCCTTACCCCTCCCTATGTAGTGGGGTACACTCTGGGAGTGCGGGTCACTGGATCACTGAGGCCGTGTTTGTTTGACGCCCTGCATGTGCACCAGTGCTGTGACACTTCCGTTTAAATTTTGTTTTTCCTTTCTCTCTCCATCCCTTCCCTCGTCCTGCCCTCTCCCTTTCTCTCTCTGTCTTCTTACATCCTTCCTCTTGCGCCTCTATTTTTCTTTCTTCCTCTCCCTGTGCCCTGTGTCTATTTTTACACAGCAGTTGAAAGACAATGACCCTACCACACCTGCCACTGTACCTGCTAGGCAAGTGCCATCGCTCACGCTAGCACTACTAGAGCAATGAGAGATGGCAGCCGACGCCTGTCCAAACTGTCCTCACCTGCTCTCCACAATCAGTGATCAAAGACCCATGCCCGCTCTCCCACCCATTACCAAATCCACCTGGAGATAGGTGGTGAGTATCTGATCCTGCCAAACAAGTAAAGAGGTTAAGGCACCTGCCCATTGTTCAGATAGATTTTTTTAAATCAGTGTGAAGCAACTCACATACAATCAACAGATTAATACAATAATACCATAATATCTGAGATTCAGCAGACACTTCAACAACAACAAAAGAAATCATGGACAAAATGACTCGAACAAGAGGTCAAACTGAGGGCCAGGAAATCTTCCCAAAGAAGAAGTAGTATTGGAAGTACTCAATAAGGAATTCAAAATATTTATATTTAAGTACTTACAAAGGATTGATAGGTGGATCAAAGAAAACAGAAAGCTATCGAAGAACTTAGGAAAATAATGCAAGAACAGATTGGCAAAATAAGTAGAAGATTAGATACTAATCAAAAATATCAAATTCAGAAGATTAATATGAAAATTCCAAAATCAATAATACATTGGAAGGGCAGAGTAGAATTAAACCAATGAAAGAGAAAAAATCATAATACAAAACATAAACCTCTTAATCCTAATTGTTAAAGGAACAACCGGGGAAAAAACTTTTTTTCCCCCAAAAAATCTAAGAATTATGCAGGACATCATTAAGAGGAATAACACACATGATTGGAATTCCAGAACAGGTAGAGCCAAAAATTGTTGAAAAAAGTTCCCCTACTATCATGAAAGATGAGAAAATATGCATGTAAGCAGCTCAACAAACCCCAAATAAAATCACCAATATATATCACAAAACTTTCTAAAACCAGAAACAAAGAAAGAATCCTGAAATCAGTTTGAGAAAAATGAAAAATTCCCTTTACAAGAGACCCAATAAGATAAAGCCCAGAAACTATACAGACAAGAAGGCCATGGAAGGATATATGTAAATCTTTGAAAGAAAAAGTATTGCCAACAAGAACTATATCAGTGGCAAAACTGTCCTTCAAATACAACGGTGACATTAGAACAGTCCCAGAAAAGCAGAAATGATGTGAGTGTGTAAAACCCAGAGCAGTCTTAAAACAAATGCTAAAAAAGAGTCATTTGAACTAAGAACAATCAGTTATGAGAACATCACTCTAAAACCAACCAAGACATAGAAATGACAAAAATGAAGTCAACCTATATTAACTAGGGAGCCAGAGGCATCCATTTTTTTAAAATAATGACAACTACAAAGCAAAAAGAGGAAACAATGAGGGTGTCATTACAGAGCTTCCAAATGGAGAGGAAATCATAAAGCTTCTCATAAAAAAAATTTTTTTAAGACTTTGCCACAAAAGTAAAAATGGGAATTTATAGACTGGGAAAAAATTTTGGCAACAACATGTAAGACAAGGGATTGTCTAAAATTTGTAGAAAACTTCAACACCTCAACCACAAAAAGACACAGAATCCACTTTTTTAAATGGACAGAGGACTTGAATAGAGGAGATGCTGGTGCCCCAACCTTGCAGTTCCCTGACAAAGCCACCAGGTGCAACCACCAATCTCTTCCCAAGTGGAGCAAATCAGAAGGAAGACAATCAAAGGCTCAAGGAAGCAGTTTGCCCAAAGAACAAATGGACCATGTGAAGCCCAGTCTCCACTATTCTGAAACTAGAAGAACAAAATGCTGACCGCAATCAAAGGGATCACAGTAAGAGAGCCTGGATACAGTGGGAGATGAATGGAGATCAAACTCATAAAAAAGACCAGGCTTGTTAGCGGGTCTGATAGAGACTGGTAGAACCCTCAAGACAATGACCCTTAGACACCCTTCGGACTTGAAACTGAACTCATCCCCATGACTCACTTTCAACCAACTGCCAGACAAGCCCAAGGTCAATAGTAATACCAATGAAGTCAGCACCCCTGACAACAATCACCATACAAGATCAAAAGGGCACCATTTTCCCAAGACCAAAGCTTGGAAGGCAAGAAGGAATGGGAAAGAAGGACAGATGGAAAGGGGACAAACCGAGGGGAAAGTGGGAAGAGTGTTGTTACACTGTGGGCTTGCAATTAATGTCACAAAATGTGTACGAACTGTTGAGTAGAAAGATTCTGTTTGGGGTAGAAAGTCTGCTCCCGGAAAGCTCTTGCAAACCCTATGTAGGGTCATTATGATTTAGGATCAACTTGATGGCAGTGAGTTTGTTTGTTTGTCTGTTTGTTTGTTTGTTTGTAATGGCTAATGACTGCGAGGATTTCTTCATAGGTTGTTATCTGCCTGGGTGTCTTCATTGTTGAAGTGTCTGTGTCCTCTGTAAACTTTCACCCAAATCACAACAATACAAAATAGCACCGTTAAATCCTAGTTAGATTGTTGGCCAACAATAATATGAACTTGAAGCCAATACCCTCTTTAATTAAAAAAAGAAGTATGAATATATACAAACCGCAATAGGGATGTTAACAATAGTTAGTCCCAAAATATGACTTGGTCCTGAGATCATCAGAAATATTAAAGAAGAGTTAAAGGGGGTGCCATCATTTGCTCTCTGTGTGTGATTTAATATTGTTGAATTCAATTCATGGTATCCCTTCAGTAATTCAAAACCCAAACTGAGGAAACTGATGCTGATGGAGAAGCACAATCTTAAAACCAAAGACCTGAAACCAAAAACCAAAAATCGAGCTGTACCACGTACTAGATGTGTGACTTTGGGTCAGGACACAGCCTCTGTGGGCTTGTAGACTAAATGTAGGATGGCACAGTCTTCTATGCCTAGTCTGAATCTTCGGTAAGACTGCCTGAACATCATACTCATAAGACCTGCTAAAACTCAGTGGAGGAAAAGTACAGTGATCCATTGGTGATGTCTGTCATGGGCATGGGGAGTAGGGACTCTGTGATACACACTGTGTCTTTGAGAACACAGAATGAAGGGTTTTCTAAAGGCATTTCCCACTCAAATAACTCAGTGAGTAGCTTCAATGGAACCAGAATGAGCTAGCAGGATTATGTTTTTATGGAGGGGGGTCTATAAAACCTTCCAGCGTATTTTCTAGGGCCCCAGAGATTTGGGGGGAAAGGGTTATATTCCCACTCCCTTTCCTTCACTTACATTCAGCTTCTTTGCTCTTATTAGGTAGATACAGTACTTACTTGGGACCATGTCATTCCCCTGCTTAGAGGCTTTCCCTATCTGCCTCCCAGAATATAGCTCAAATTCCCAAAACACCATAACCTATCTTTCAAGGTTAAGTTATCCTTCGAGGTTAGGTTAGCTCTAGTGAGGCACACACCATTAAATATTTGAAATTGAAAGGACATTTACCCAAGGAAAAAGTTCTAGAGGGTTAGGAAAGGGTATATATAGTTCAAGAGGGTATATATATATATATATATGAGAAACATATATATATGTTTCAGTTCATACATGCACAGATTTATCCCAAACAAAAGGTGTTTAAACATGTCTCTGCAATTGATGGGTGGCTGCAAAAAAGTGAGGCACACACCATTAAATATTTGAAATTGAAAGGACATTTACCCAAGGGAAAAGTTCTAGAGGGTTAGGAAAGGGTATATATAGTTCAAGAGGGTATATGTATATAAGAGAAACATATATATATATATGTTTCAGTTCATACATGCACAGATTTATCCCAAACAAAAGGTGTTTAAACATGTCTCTGCAATTGATGGGTGGCTGCAAAAAAGTTCTTTCAGTAATATATTTGTCTTAGTCTCATCAGGGTGCCTTCAAAAAAAAAAACAGGTCAAATCAAAACCGTAGCTTCCAAAGGAGCTAGGCTAGTTAAATTCAAGCCAGGGAGGCCAGCTTAAAAGGCAATAGAGACTGCTTTGGGGAATTACAGAGAAGTTATCTTGATAGATTTTCTCAAAGGACAATCACAGGGGCTTATTAGGTAGAAGTTTTTAGAAAATTGAAAACTGCATTGGTGAGAAAAAGGCCAGAAAAGGACATTTTTTCCCCTCCTGACAATGCACCTGCTCATTCTCTCACAATTAACCAAGACTGTCCTATGAAAATACCATTGGGAAATGTTACCCCATCCACTCACTCTCTAACCCTGATGTTGCCCCTGTTTGTCGTTGCCAACCACTCAAAGAATATTTAAAGGGAACCTGATCTGAGTCCCACAAGGATGCTCAAACTGCTCTTTTGACGTGGTATCAATTTGAAATGCAGATTTTCTTCCAGAAAGGGTTAGAGAGACAGCAACATTGCCTTCAAGAGTGTATAGACTGGGCTGAAGATATGTCAGGAACCAAGAGCTTCACATTTTCATATTTTAGTTTAATAAAGGGTTCCGTGACTTTGGTGCAGTGGCTATGCATTGGGCTGTGATCCATGTAATCGGCAGTTCAAAACTGCCAGCTGCTCCGAGGAAGAGAGACCGGGCTTTCTACTGCCATGAAACAGTTTTAGTCTCAGAAACCCACAGGGGATCCCTGGGTAGGTTTTTTCCCCGTGATTTTGTATGGGTTACCCCCACCCCCCACCTCATACATCTTAGATCAACTCAACCCACTTCACTCCTTTGTGTCACCTTCCAAGGCCACCCCAGCACCTAGCCCGGAGTAGGCACACTGTGGTGATCAATAGAAACTTCTAGAATGGAAAGGAAAGAAGTAGGCTACTCTACAAAAGAGACCAAGAGGAAGTGCTTTGCAAAGTGGCAACATCCGGAATCATGCCCATCCCAGGCAGATGCATAGGTTCCCCAAAGAAAAAGAAGTAGGCCCTGGGGGAGGCATTGTGTCAAATCCATCTCATAGCATCCTTCTCCGGGACACTGTTCCCAAGGCTGTACCCTTTACCAGAACTTATCACCGCTCTTTGTTCCCGTGGAGCTTCTGGTGGGTATGAACCGCAGATTTGGGGGGTAGCAGCCAACCGCTTAACCACTGCACCACCAGGACTCCTTTGAATGGCCTTGAGGATTATTGATTATATATTGGGCTGCTAGCCACAAGGTCAGCAGTTCCAACCCATCAGTTGCTCTGCCAAGGAAAAATGAGGTTTTCTGCTCCTGTAAATATTCACAACCCCAGGAGCGCTCCCAAAGGGACAGTTTTACTGTGTCTGATGGGGTCCCCCTAAACTAGAATAAACTCAATGGCAGTGAGATGATTGATGATGATGATGATGATGATTGTCCCAGGTGTTGAAGTAGTTCTAGGTCAGCGATGTCTTGACATGAACCAGTGAGGTCACATCATATGAGTTTGCTGCCTTGTCTTGCTGAGGCAGGCAGAGGGTGTGTCCGAGTTGCCCAGTCACCAGGAGATCAGGGTCACTCCCTTTTCTTTGGAGCAGACCTTCAGGAGGACCTCTCACTAGCTACGCTGCTTCCCAAACCTTTTTTGATCCAATTCTACCTTCTCACCTGTTGCCATAGTAGCTTATCGCACATCCTAATGGGGCTTGGGATGATGGTGCTGGCTAAGAAGATTGAAAGGGCCATGGACACTAAAAGGACAAGCCAATCTGTCTTGGAAGAAGTGTACGGCCAGAGTGCTCCTTAGAGGCCAGGGTGGCAAGACTTCATCTCATGTACTTTGGACATGTGGTCAGGCAAGACCAGTCCATCCTGCTTGGTAAAGTAGAGAGGCAGTGAAAGAGAGGATTCCATCCTCTGTGAGATGGATGGACGCAGTGGCTGCAACAATGGGATCAAACACGGGAGCCATTGGGAGGATGGCGAAGGACCGGGCAGTGTTTTGTTCTGTTGAGCATAGGGTCACGCTGTGGGTTGGAACTGACTCTCTGGTCTGACAATAACAAGGTGGTTTTCTTATCTTTTTTCTTTAAACCAGCTAAAACACTTTAAATTATTTCAAAAGGAAACATTATACAAGTCCACAATCTGTCGCTGACAATTTTGAAATCCCAAAAGTCTACCAATTGAAAGCTCTCCCAAAGTTTAAGACAAACTTATTTGTCATGAAAACCTGACCTGAATTGATGTGAGGCTATTTATAGTCTCTATTTATTCCAATTAGTGTGACTTGTCAGAGATTAATCTGCCGAAATATTAATGTGTTTGCTTACAAGGTGCTTCCCCAGCCGGGAGTGTTAAGTTACAGGCAATCTTTACAAGAGTGATCTTTCTAAAATGTGAAAAATTCCAAATCCTGAGACATATGTGCTAAGAATTTTCAACCTGTCACACCACACAGCCATAAATAGGAAAGGAGTATCACTTGCTATAAATAGAAAGTGACCATCAAAAGAAGCACAATTAACATTTTAAGAAAAAAAATATAGCAGCCATCAACCACCTCACATGATGTTGTGACCTGCCCATTCTTGGCATCCAGGTGTGCTCTGGCCCTGTCAGCAGAAGCCAAGCCCTATTTGCAAGTTCCTGGAATCAGAGGCCTGTTGTCGGCTTCCCCCGTGTGATTTTAAATGGGGTCAAGCTCTCTCGTCTCCTTGAAGAATCGAGCACCTACTTTGAATATCTCATCAGGAAGGCATTTTATTGCTGATGGCTGGAAATAGGGCATCAAGTCTTTGTGGAGCATTCGGAGTTCTTCCTTCGTTAATCCAGCTGGGAAGAAAAAAGAATCACAAGGGTTTAGTTCAAGCCATCAGAACTTCTCTTGTTTTACTAATGATGCTGCTGCATAATCCAGACCTGCGAGGTCCAGGCAAGGATCTTCCTTACAAAAGACCCTGAAAGTCACACTGGGAAAGTAAGCTCCTTAATCAACACAGGAAAACAGAATGGGTCACGCTAGCCCTGATCGGCCTCCTACATCTAACGGGATGCCCAAAAGGCACTTCACTTCATACAACTTCAGATTGTGGATTAACTTTACGGAGGGCCAATTGAATCACATCCGAAGCCAATCTTTATCTAACTTTAGTGAATAAAGAACCATGGGGGTGGGGAGGAGTGGTACCTACAGATCCCACCCTTAATAACTGCAAGCCACGAAAGCTAGGTTACGCTGTCGCACGGCAGATGCTCACGTATGTGGCCTTGGATTCTTTTACTTTCTGCCGGAAGATTTAAGGCTGGCAAGGGAGTGAAGCATGGGGACTCCTACCTGCAATGGTCCCGAGCTCCTGCAAGATGGAGCCGGTCCACTCTGTGGGAAGCCCAAACACGACTTCTGCCTTCCTCTTAAACTCTGCCAAAACCTGAGTGCTGCAGGACAGGGTCCCAATCCTGGCCACCACCGCTCTGGTGAAGAAGAAGGAATGGAGGGTGAACCTGGGCAACTCTCCAACCAAAGTGAGATGTGCAGAAGGGGACTCAGCCCGGAGTTCGAATCCAGCGAATCCGCTCCCCAGCACAGCCCAGAAAGGTGGCAAGCCATCGGTGAGGAGCATCTTGCTGAAAGCGTGCATGACCCATCCGACCGCACCGTACGCTCACATGTGCTGTGGCTACCTGAATGCTGAGATCTCGATAAGAGGGATGTCAGCGATGTTCATCGCGCACAGGATTGCGCCGAGTCCTACTAAGTGAAAGCTCTTCAGATCCTGGATCGCGTACCCAGCATCCTCCAGGAACCCTTGCAGGATGGAGTTAGCCTATAAAGAGGAGGAAGGATAGAAGATGAACTAGCCTGAGATGACCGAGAGTCCAAATCCTGAGAGGATTATAGTCTTCCCGGACTGGTCTCCCAACATCTCCTCTGTAGATGGACCCCCTCCCCACACTAAGGAGGCTACCTATGGCGTTGAAGTGTATGCCCATAAGGTGCTGCTTCGTCCAAGTATGTTCCCTGCTCTGGGGAGGTACCTTGAGGCAGCGAAGCTCGTATAGCCTTAAACAATAATAAAGTTTAACTTGCATCCTGTGTCAGCTTCTGCTGAATTTGTTCTTTCCGTCATTCGGATGCCCTTCACAGAGCCTAGGCCTTCCAGTTCTGCATCAGGATGCAAACACTTCCAGCATCTTCTCTACAGCTTTCCAGGAAACCTGCTAACTGCTGACCTTCATGCCTTGGTTCCACCACCTGAAATGCCTTTTCGGCATTCCCAAGTTAAAATTCAACCACCTTTTTTTTTTTCCCTAAGGGAGTCTGGGAGCTCAATTCAAAAGTCACCTTCTTCATGAGATCTTCTCTGACCATCTTGGCTGAAATTAGTTTTTCTTCCTCAAATGTCTCACAAAGAAGCCCTGGTGGTACATCAGGTTAGTCATTGGACTAAGAGCTACAAATCAGTGGTTCAAACGCACCAGCCACTCCCAGGGAGAAAGACGAGGCTGTCTACTCCCATAAAGATGGACAGTCTTGGAAAGCCTGAGGAGCAGTTATCCTCTGTCCTAAAGGGTCACGCTGAGTCAGAATCAACTCCGTGGCTATAGATTTGGTTTGGGTTTTGGAATACCCCACAGAAATGTGTTTTCCCCTTTGGTTACAGAGAGTACTACCTCACATAGTTCTGTATTAACAACCAGATCGGGACCTCTCGATTGAGCTTTGCTTAAGAGGTCTGATGAGTGGAACCCCTGAAATCCTAGCATGCAGCCCTTCCTTGTCCATGACTTTCCATGCAGAGCTGCCTCTCCAATGTTCTTATTTCATCGGGGTCAGTTGGTGCTGACTGCGTCCTGACATCCAGGGCCTCCGTACTGGCCACCAAGTCATCATTTAGCCCACCTGCGGCAATGCGTTCTGAATTGGGTGAGTGATCCAGTAAGAGCGAATCGGGACTTTGGCTGGAACATTAGGAGAGAAGATATTTCTTGACAGACACCCGGATCTTCTAGATGCCACCAAGTAGGGAATGCCTGCCTCTGAGGGACATGAAACCCACTGCCATCTATCTCATCAGCCTAACTCGGTCATGGAAGTGACCCTCTCTAGGGTCCTGAGACTGTAAAACTTCCTGGGAACAGCCAGCTCGTCTTTCTTTCCACAGAGAGGCTGGTGGGTTTGAACCACTGGCCTTGCAGTTAGTATCCCAGTGCTACAACCCCACCAGAGCCCTTTCTGAGTGAAACCAACATGGAAGAAAGCAGGATTAAAACAATGTAAAAACCTCGCTTCTCAGCCTTGGGGTTAAGATCCAGTATAAATTATAGTTCAAAACTAATGCCTGACAACACTATTGAAGCTCTTCGATTTGGCCATTCCTGAACGCTACCTTAACCTTTTTATTTATGATAGTCAAGGGGTTTCCCATGAGTTGGCGTTTCTGACGTTTTTGACTACATTATCCCTCAGATAGTTAAGATTCGTCTGGTCAGATGACGCAAACAAGTAAGTATGCAGAAACCAGTGGGCTGTGCTTAGGACTGCTAACCACAGGCCAGCAGTTCAAACGGACCAGCTGCTCTTCAGAGGAAAAATGACACTTTCTGTTCCTGTAAAGATTTACAGTCTGAGAAACCCCCAGGGGCAGATCTGCTCTGTCCACGGGTCACTGGGAGTCAGAACTGACTTGATGGCAGTGAATGTAATGTGCCTTGGTGATTACCAGGGACAAAGACGGAGGGGAGTCACTCCAGATAAGACACACCTGTTATCTTCTTGTGATGGGAAAGGTAACATCAAACGAGGGCGAAGTGTACACAGTGTGCAACACCCCCTGATGGTTGCCTTGAATACTCTTCAAACCTCGACCCAAAACTAACCCCTGAGATCACTTCAATCCGTAAGTGTGGTGCTACTGAACCCCTTTATAGTCGTGGGGGATTTACAAACTTTGAGAGTATCTTACTGAAGATGCTGGACAATCTGATTTATAGAAACATTTCATTATGTTTAATAGAGAATCCAGGAAAAAAATGAACACAATAGCCTTAACAATGAGCTCAAACAGCTTCAGAATGATGGCGATGGCACAGGTGTCTGCAACATTTCATGCTGTTGTACCTAAGGTCACCACAAGGCGGAGTCAACTCAACGGCCAGTTCTGGAACAATACGGTGAAGTCTGATTGCTCAGCAGTCACAGGGGCAGGTGCGGAAGATTACAGGAGGCCAAAGCTCCCAAGGCAAAGATGGGGAGGAGAAGACGCCCAGGGACAAGTATCTCCTCAGTAGAGTGAAGATCACAGGGGTACAGTGACTCTTCCATCTCTCTCTCATCTTCGTCCATCGCGATCACATAATGTGAATCACTCCAGAGTTGAGAGAAGGTAAAATTTGGAAAGGCACCACCTTTCAGTAGGATCCCATTTTTCCTGTGTTTCATGTTTCAGGTCTGTTGAAATGCTGCCTCATCAGAGAAGACAGCCCAGACTGCCCCACCTCATAGATGTCTCCCTCTCACCTCTCTCCATGAGCATGTCCATTTGCCATGTATTATTTACGACAATGTTTTTGATTAATTTGCACTTTTAACTTTGATCGCTGATTTTTTTTGTTTGTTTGTTTCCCCAAGTAAACGCCTCAAAATGAAAGACCATATTCAGCCAGTTAATTGTTGCTTCCTCAGGAGCCAGCAGAATTCCTGGCATAAAGCAGTTAGTTGTCCCCTAAGGACCTTTTGAAAATGAATAAATGAACTATCGAAGTCACAAGTAACAAATACTCCTGTGAAATAGCATCATATCCCTACCTTCATGTGACAAATTGACTTCAGGAAAATTTCCTATGTTCCTGTAAACCAGATTGACCAATGTCTTCAAAGATTATAAAACTCACCCCCTGTCGGAAGTTTCAATAGCACTACACTTTTGAAAATAAAACTCTCTATTGTGAACTAGGTGGGGGTTCACATATCAGATCATCCTTTTTGTATTTTACAACTTGAACAACTTATCAGCCCTTCCCATAAATTGTCCTGTCCCACCTTTCCCATCTCCCGTTTGTCCAATATTATCTTCCCCTCCACTAAGTGAACACTTGTCTGCCTATGCCCTCTCCCTCTTCTCTCCTCCCACCTCTGGTAACCACCATCAATTTCTTTAGTATGATAACTTTTAATTTTTCATAACAGTGGTATCATACAATATTTGACAAACTTCACTCAGCGTCATGGCCTCCAAATCCAACCCTGGCATGAGCCGTTTCACATTCTCATCACTGTATCTGTACCACGGTGTGTATCTTCCAAGCTCTTTTACCCATTCTTCCACTCATAGGCATTGTGGTTGCTTCCGAATACTTGCTATTGGGAACAGTGCTGTGATAATATAGCTGTGCATGTATCTGTTCACTCTCTGTTC